TACCGGCGACACTATTACCGGCGACATGAGTATTACCGGCGACATTCTCTTTAGCGGCGACAAGAATTATTAGCGGCGACAGGTGCATTAGCGGCGACATTTGTCTTTAGCGGCGACAATCTGATCAATAGCGACGAAGCAGTAGCGGCGACTCTTTACCGGCGACGTGTCGCCGCTATTAGCTTTAGCGGCGACTTCTCGACCCTTTACCGGCGACTTTTGTCGCCGCTAATTGCTCATTTCCTTGTAGTGTAATATCATACTCGAAATAAATGTATTTCTCAATGGATTATATATATATATATATATATATATATATATATATATATATAGATATATATATATATATATATAGATATATATATATATATATATATATATATATATATATAGACTTAGGTTATTCTATTCTAACTAATTATTGTGCGGATATCGTATGCTATGAGAATTACTAAGAGAATATGTTGTTTAGCAATGCGAATACGTTCAAGCTTACAAAAATATCGTCGTTTTCAAGCATTCTCACTAATTATTATTTATTTTTGTTCTCACACATCGTTTTTCACTCATTTTCATTCTGACAGAATTACGACCCAATAAAAATTCTGAAAACATTCTGACAGAAATGAGAATAATAATAATAAGTGTATAATAACCTTATAGACGATTTAATTAGTGAGAATGTGTGTTAATGACAATAGTTATGTAAGATTGGACGTATTTATATTATCAAACAACATATTTTCTTTATCATTCTCATAGCATACGTTATCCACACAATAATTAGTTAGAATACTTGAACCTAGCTCTCTATCTCTCTCTCTCTCTCTATATATATATATATATATATATATATATATATATATATAGAGAGAGAGAGAGAGAGAGATAGAGAGAGAGAGATAAGTTCAATTGAGAAACTAAAAAAGTTGAGAATGAAGAATCATTCTCAGACACTCATTTATTTTTGCCGCAAAAGTTTCCAACGTACCAGCGGAAATGGGAAAGGAATACACATGTGTTTTTCAACAAAACATGTTTCCTTAAACTATGCTAATCATTACCTTAATATACACAAAAAAACACTGTTTTTTTCGTTTTTTTAAATTTTTAAGAAGCTATTTTTATCGAAAAATGATTTTAAATATACAAAAATTCATAATTTTTTATTCTCTACAAATATGCATCCATATTGATATACTTTTAAGATAAAATAATTTTTTTTTATATTTTCAGCTATCGTTATTCATAAGTGAATAAAAATGCATCAGATATTTAGTACAACACATTCATTATTCACTTATGAATAAAAAATATGATTAATTTTTTCTACAGATTAGGTATCATACATATATATAAATATAACACATAATAAACTCTTTACAGCTTACATCATGTCTCGTCATATGTTATATTCATATATGAATAAAACCTGTATCGATTTTCCTCACAAGTTATATTTATTACCAAGAACACATTTATCATAATTTTGTTACAGTTCAATTGTTATTCCCATATGAATAAATAGTTCAAATTTTCAAAACACTTCATCTTTTTTTTAACATACTACTTATTTATATATGAATAACAAATGAACTGTAACAAAAATCTTAAAAATGTTTTATTAATATATGAATATAACATATTACGACAATTAATACACGTTTTATTCATATATAAATATAACATGTGACGAAGTATGATGTAAAAAATATATTTTATGTAAGAAAAGTTTATAATGTGTTATATTCATATATAAACAATACTTAAACTTTAAAAAAGTTAAGCATGCGTTTTATTAATAACTGAATAACGAATGTATTTTAATAAAAATCTGATGCATTTTTATTCACTTATAAATAACGATAACTGAAACTCTAAAAAAAATATATTTTTTATTTTATCTTAAAACTATATCAATATGGATGTCTATTTATAGAGAATAAAAAATTATGAATTTTGATATATTTAAAATAAATTTTCGATGAAAATAGCATTCTAAAAAATAAAAATAAAAAAAATATGTCTTTGTGTATATTAAGGTAATGATTAGCATACTTTAATGAAACATGTTTGGTTGAAAAACACATGTATATCCGTTACAAATTCCGCCGGTACGCCTAATTGTTTTGGGCAAAATACATGTGTAACTAAGAATGATTCCCTCATTCTCAACCTTTTTTTTCTCAATTGAACCCTCCTATATATATATATATATATATATATATATATATATATATATATATATATATAATATATATATATAGTGAAATGTTTTTCGAAAAAAAGTGACGTAAAGCACCAAAAATCGGTACTATAGAAACATGTTTACTAAAACAAAATCTCGAAAAAAATGTACATATACGACAGGTGTATATGTGCATTTTTTACGAACTTTGTGAATTTCCGACGTTTGTGCACATATGCACCTGTCGTATATAAATATTTCTTTCGAAATTTTCTTTTTGCAAATATGTTTATGTACGACCGATTTGACGCTTTATGTCACTTTTTTTGAAAAAAAATATCAAACAAAAAACTTTGCATTTTAAAAATAGTTCGCAATAGATCTTAACCCTATAGTATAGATATAATATATATATATATATATATATATATATATATATATATAAGTTTGACTAGATTTGTCAATAATTTTCCTTTTTTTCTAGAAGATTTTGATCCATGGTAAATTCGTCGAGAAAATGACTCAAGAGGGTAACCAACTGTTGATTTTGTTCACATTTTACACAATATACTATTTAATTAGTTGTAGGTGCTCACAAAAACCATTGCAGCCTGCTATTGAAGGTTGTCGTTTACTTTGTCATCTCCGACGATTCTCCAGTCATCTTCTACGACTAGTCTTCAACGAAACATGAATTTTTCGGCGACTTTGTCATCACTAAAGACCAACAAGTTGGAAGGGTTTCCAAATTTGTGGGTTTAAAGAGTTTCCGATTCGTGGGCTTAAACTCGAATGGTTCCAGATTCGTGGGTTTAAACTCGAATGAAGATGAAGGGTTCCGGAAATCATTCATCAAGAGGTTGTTCATCAGCTGTAGTTTTCGATTTCTAGGGTATTAATCGTTCCAAGAACAAGAACACGAACCTAAAACGTATAGATTTCCAAATTCGATTTTTGCCATGGATGTAGCTTCAAACCCATTTCCAGATATGGACCTTCAAATCGATTACATGCATGGAGTGTCGGATCTGAGAAAACAAGCATGTGTGTGTGTCGAAAATCGTACCAAATCAGCCCATGTTGTTCATCATCTTTGGTTTAAGATTTCTGGGGTTTCAAAAATTGTTCCAAGAACAAAAAGGAACCAAGAACACATAACCATGAATCTGAAATCGGTCCAGGAATCTGATGAACACATCTGAAACCAACGATTTCTGGAACGAATCCGATGAACACACATCTGAAATCGATTTCTGGACACAAATCTGATAATCCACAAGCTTTTGATTTCGTTTATAGGTTTTTAAATCTGGGTTTGAACTTTGAAGTTTCATCCATGGCATGACAAAGTTTTTATTTTTGAAATGGTTTGAAAGTTATCCATGGAAGAAACATGTTCAGGATGTGTTAGTCGATTTCTGATATGTGTTTTTTGGTTTAAATGATTTAGGAAAATATTTAAAATCGGCAGAAAGGTAATGTTCGTCGGTGACTCGTCGGAGAAGATGACCGGAGAGTCGCCGGAGATGACCAAGTTGTCGGAAACCTTTAATAACTGTTAATAAGGGTATATTGTGAACGCCTACAACAAGTTGAATGGTAAATGGTGTACAAAAAAAAAGTGACTAAACGTAAACAAAAACGATAATTCATTAACATCTTAAGTCATTTTCCCTAAATTCTTCCGTGTAATCCATTTCCGGCTTATGATATCATTGTTATATTGTAGTGTGTATGAGTATGTCTTTGACATATCTTATAATTTTTTTTTTTTTGTTAGTTTATGCTAAATATCTATCTATCAACAATGTATAATATGAAAATATGCAACTGTTATTGTAATTGTTGAATTGCAAAGAAATGATACTATATATATATATATATATATATATAATATATCATATCTATATATTTTGCATATTTTAAGGGATCATAGATTCTAATAAATTTTAAAAATCTGATTTTACGAATTATAAGGTTTCAATTCGGACATTCTGACCGACTATGTTTGAATATATTCAAAAATAAAAATTCTTGAACCATAAAAATAATAAAAATATTCTTGAACATATTTTTCTTGTAAAATAACAAATTCTCGAACCAGCAGTTGAAGAATTAAAACAAAAATTATATTAATTCTTTTAGAATACGGGTAACAATTGCTAAGAATTACATTTATTGTTAAAGAATAAAACTAAAAAAACTTTCAAATCGGGAAAAAAACATCAAAATCTTATAAAGACACTAATACATTCTAAAGAATAATGTTGCTAAGAATCACTTTCAATTTCATGGTCCATTCTTCAAGCATCAGCTGCTTCTGTGGAAACAAATCTAATGCATAAATCAGTGAGAAAAATTTCCATATTCCATTCCAACAGAATTGGAATTCGTGATTCCATTCTGATAGAATTGGAATCCAAGATTCAGTTACGGTATGCATTCTGTTGGAAAAATATCCAAAGTAAAAAACAATGCGAGGCAAATGACTAATTCCAAGATTCAGTTACGGTATGCATTATGTTGGAATTCAAGATTCACTTATAAGGGAACTCTCAGTTCACATCATACTAATGCGCGGCATGGACTAATTCCAACCATAAATAATTACAGGAAACCTGTAGAACTAGTCCTTATTCCCACTTCTCACATAAAACTCCAATTCCGATCTAAAAGTTAAGTAATTGCAGTGCCCTAGTTGAATATGAGGATGGTGAAAAAATAGATTATGTGTAGTTAAAAGTTCACTGACCTAAATCGACACAATCAAAAACCAAATATTTAAAAGCTTTTAACTACCTTTTCCACCTAATTAGGAGCTAATACTTGAAAGGATCTCATTCCCATCGACATTGATCTCAGAACTTCTTCCTGTTCTTGTTGAGCGAGACACGTCTCTTTTTCCTTCTGCCAAGTTCAATCGCAAAGGACGGCCCTCAACCTCCTATTCATCAAAAAGACCAGAAATGAATAAAACAAAGATTACAGAAGAAGAAAGATGCACAAATAATGGGAGTTTTGAAGCTTTTACCAGTCCATTCATAACGTTAAGTGCATATTCTGCAGCCTCGGGAGAGCTAAAAGTGACAAAACCAAAAACCTCGATTTCCTGATTGTTTCTCGTAGATCACCTTGTGCTCAAAAAACCAGGTTGTTCATCGAAAGTATCTTTGAGCTTCTCAGAAGTTAGATCCAGCTAAGGTTACCTGCATAGATCTTGTGAGGGATTTCGATAAAATCTCTGTTACTGCTTCTAATCTTTGGGCCCATCACTTCCCGTTCACCTCCCCTTGGCACCTCCGGGAAGTTTACCTTCACTGTTCGTCCACCGATTTGCTGAAAAATATTATCAAAATCAGTAGTCGCAATCATGTTTCTGAATTCAACCAATTTCTGGAGATGAAAATGGATTCAAACTCGTTTGTAAGAATGGAAGAGAATGCTTACAGATCCGTTAAACATTCTAATGGCTTCTTTAGCTTCTTGAACACTTGCCATTGTAATAAATGTGAATCCCCTGCTCCTGTCTGTTACGCTATCGTAAACAATTTGATCGAATGGAAATTAGGGTTACGAGAAACCGGAAATCCCCAAAATTATACAAAAATTCCAACAGTCACACACATTACCTCCACGGAAATTACATCGCCAGCTTCTCTGAATATTTGGGACAATTCTGCAGAAGTAATCGCATATGGCAAGTTTCTGATGTAAAGCCTCCCAGCTTTTCCCCCACCTCTTTGAGATTGATCTGCCACCACCGATGCCCCTCGATTTCGCAATGATATGCGTGTGTGTTTGCGCGACAACTGGGGAAGCAACGATTGGGACTGATTAGAAGCAGAGAATGACCACAATGATCGGAAGTATCAGGGAGGGAAGGTTGGCTCGATTGTGAATGGAGGGATGAAGACGATTTGTGGAAGACGATGAAGACGATGACCTGTTGTATATAAAAAAAGAAATTAGGTTACAAGTGAATGTTAGCGTGATTATAGGGACTATTTGTGGTAGCTATTTATCAAATTACTAAAATACCCTTGTTTATTTATTTAATTATTTAAATTTTATTTAATTATGATTGGCCACATTTATGCATACAATAACACAATAATTATTTTAACATTTGAAACCTCCTCTATATATATATATATATACTATATATATATATATCTATATATATATATCTTATATTATATATTATATCTATATCTATATATCATATATATATCTTGTATTTTTAACCTTGAAAAATTATGCTTTATTATTAATTAGGTCAATTCAATGCCAAAGTAAAGCAAAACTAATTCAAAGAAAGAGAGATTTTTCAACATGGGATCTTATGGGCCCTCCCAATGATTTGTAGGGCGTTTTCCTCCTGTCCTTCATTAGGGTATTGTCCTAGCCAATTTTCACCTTCGACCTCTTTACAAAAAAACGTGTAATTGGTTATAAAACCAAGTGCTTTGAATAGAATTGAGTTACATTGTGAACACATAACTCAATTTTAAAATAAATTCCATATTACCATCACCATCGTTGCCGCTGCGGCTAGCTGCCACCGGAGCATCCCCCCAACTTAACCAAAAAAAGAACTCAAATCATCCCCACTCACTTTTTTTTTTCACTTCTCCCAACCGGTCCTTATCAGTCACTAACCTATCAATGGACAGGGTTCTTTCATGTTTCAAGATTTGTACACCATGCTGATAGTGTTGTACCTCCATTGATCTCATCCATCCTTCCATTTGTCACCACATCATCAGTAGCTTTTGTCTTAAATTGGAGTAGGCCCCAATCCAATCATTGAAAAAAATATAACTTAGTTAAGTGTTTTAGATTTGTGGTGCACTTTGCTTAGAGCCTCTAACCCCACCTCCACCCCACCCCATGCCTTGGGTTATTGGTGTGGTCCTCCTCCCCTACGGGTCTCCTCTATGATAAGGATCTTTGGTGTCATCACTTTGAAAGTTTTGTCAGGGTTTTGCAATGGAAATTCACACATTAATTCGCTATGAATTTGTATTGACACGACCGAACTGGACGCGACTGGATAAGTTTTCTAATGATATATTATGATGAGGGAATTTAGGATTTTTCCGCAAAAGAGAGAATGAGAGTGAGTTCCTCTCCACTTTGTTCCACCTCAATTGGTGGAAAAAAAATTGTATTTTTTGTCATCAGGAATTAGTCTCGGTCCTATTTCACTACAGACTTAACACAAATACAAAACCTTTTTGTGTCATCGTGTCTTATGCAAGAACCAAAGTCTTGGTGATGTCTCTAGGATTAATGTTAGTGAGACGATATTTGGCGTCTCAAATAGGAGTGTAGATGTAACCCATAAGAGAAAGATCGATTAATATATATATATATATATATATATATATATATATATATATATATATATATATATATGCCCATGAGTTAATTTTTTTCCTTGACATCTTGTATGTACAAGATAGGGTATATAAGTACATACGTATATAGTTAGATATACTTATATAGACACCTATGAATCTTGTTAAAAGAACTAGTAAAATCAAGATTGAACTATTTACTGACATTATATGAATTTCACAGCTTTTTTTGTAATCAAGTCTCTTTACAAGAAGTCGACAAAGACATATCGGTCCCCATACAAATGACAAATTTCGTATCTCTTATCAATTATTTTTTTGGATATTGACGAATCAATCAACAAAAGTAGGTCAAACAGATTATAATTGTGCTCTTATTTCAAAATCCAAGTACCTTAAAAGTCATAAGAGACCGATAGATATATATGGGTATGATTAAGGTTCAAAAGATCAACAAATTTCAACCAAAAATGACAACTATTTAAGAATGTACTACTACAAAATTTTATTCCTATTAACCCAAAGCACTATGGGAGATAAAAAATACAACGCAAAAATATTATATTGTTAAACTCCCCTATTTCAAAGCATAAAGGAAATAAACATTCATATTTATATATATACCTCAAAATTTACCCTAGTTACTAGCTATGGACAACAAGAACTATGTACAAACTTAATGTTTATGTACATTTAGCAAACATAAACACATTCCTTAATGAAACTAAGAACTCGCACGAAAAGAATTAATCTCTATATATAAATCTATACTAGTTTTATGTCCGTTGTAGACACACACATTTTCCATCTGAGTATTGACGTGAAATATCTTTCGCAACCCTGGAAGCATCCATGGACGCACCAAACAAACCTCGTTTTGTAAATCCTACTGCATATAATCCTCTTTCTCCTTTCCATCCTTCTGGATACTTTTTCTTAGGAAATCCATCTTTGTTTGAGAATAGATTCGTGTCCTACAAACAAAGTAATATCATATATATGTCGTATTGCATGTCAAAAATTGAATATTTCCGTATCAGTTTTAAATCAACTTATTAGAATTTGTAGTATACCTTCAACCAAGTCGGAACATTACTTCTATAACCCGTGGCTAGAATTATGGCATCAAATTTCTCCTTTCTGCCATCTACAAACTCCACAATGTTACATTCTAGTCTCTTTATTGCTGGGTAAACCTACACGAGATACATATCCGAAGCATATTTGAGATGTTTATCAAAGCATTCAATTACATGCACACTGTGATATAACTGATTAATGTAGAAAAGTAGTACCTTGATATCGCCACTTCTGAGCTTTGCGAGCGTGCCTACATCCAAGACGGGTGTTTTTCCAGAAATGCCCTTTAGCTCGAGTGGACCAAGTTTTGGTCTATTGAGGCCAAGAAGACTCGTGTCACCGAGCATACATCGTGATATGAAAAGCAAGAGCTGATCAACTATTCGCACAGGGAACCACTTGAGCAGCCACATCGATAGTCCAAAAGTTGATATCCCAAACATCTCTTGTGGCAACACATGCAACTGCAAAAGTTAGCCCCAAAAGCAAATCAAAAACTAGGGTTTTAAAAAGCAAGTGAAGCAGAAGTGGGTTTCAATGCCCTTTGGAATCTTTTTTGAGTTTTCAGGAAAAGAAAGATTATCAAAGAGACGCAACAATGCGCATGCATACGAATTTCAAGAAAATTCTAACCCTAACAGGCTTAATCTATTGACTCTTTGGATTATTGTCCTATTTGACTTTCCAGTATAAGTTATTCTTACTGTCAAAAGAGTTGTTCTACACTTTCCAACAAAAGCAATTTTAGAAACATCTTTGGAAATGAAACTGGAAAAGATCTGATGCACTTGACATTCTTTTGTTAAAGTATTTATTTTATATTGAATATAAGTATTGAAGATTCTAGAAGTACATCAATCACTCTAAAACTACACAGCAAAGTTAAAGCTCAATGAAAGAGGACCATTGTCCTCGTGATTTGACATTATCATTCTTTGAGTTTAGCACAAAAAAGTGACTATCCATCGGTCCATCCCAGTTATGCGAAAAGAAATAAAGAAAAAAACGGTTTTTAAAAACCCTCAATCTTTTGTTACTTGGATTTTTAGTTAATTACTTCTATTAAACAGTTGAAAATTATTGAAATAGTAACACAATCCTCCGATGAAAAAAAATTTAAGGATTCTTGCATCGTTTTACAATCTTGGATGTGAAAATTGTTAATATATCAATAAAAAATTTCGTTTTTATAAATCAAGATCGCAGCAATTTATGAGAGAGAGAGAGAGAGAGAGAGAGAGAGAGAGAGAGAGAGAGAGAGAGAGAGAGAGAGAGAGAGAGAGAGAGAGAAGAACATACTGAATCCCTAACGATAAGGGAAGGAAAAGCGTTAGAATTGCAGAGATCCAAACAAACTTCCATGCCAGAATTCCCACACCCCACAACCAGAACTCGTTTATTTTGAAAACCCTCGCCACTTTTGTAAGAACTAGTGTGTACTATTGGTCCATTGAACTCATCCATCCCCTCAAATCGAGGCACAACTTCCACAGCATTCTCACCAGTCGCAACAATTAGCCATTGACAAACATACTCAGTACCCTTCGTTTTCACCCTCCAGAACCGACACCCATCGTCATATTCTGCACTTAAAACTGTTGCATTGAAAACTGGCTTCAATTCAAAGTTTTTCGCGTAGGATTCAAGGTACGATAAAAACTGTTCTTTTGTAGGGTAGGTTGGAAAATCTACAGGAAAGGACATAAGCGGAAGCTGACAGAATTGTTTTGGAAGATGAAGGCGAAGTCGATCATAGGTTTTGAATTGCCATAAAGAAGCTATGCAGTTTGCCTGTTCAAGAATCATGGCTGGGACGCCGTGGTTCTTGAGACAAGCGGCGGCGGCAAGGCCTGAAGGACCAGCTCCGACAATGACCGGCCCTGGCACCCAAACACGGCGAGGTAGGGAGTCTGAGTTTGTTGAAGTTATCATCTTGGGTTGAAGATACGGATCATGAACTTTCTTGAATTCAACTTCTTCCATCAACCAAAGAAGAATCTTGATTCTTGAAGAATGCACAAACCTGTGATCAGTTTGATTTGTTAAAGTTGAACTTAATCCAAAAATCTTGTTATTTTGGATTAGGATGATGACTGAGATGAAGAAAGGACCATGATTTTATTATGGATATCAATATCAATCAGAATGATTTGGGAGAGATTTCAGGAGGGAGATATGGATAAATACGAGGTGAGGAAATTAATCGAGAAAAGTTATCTGTTTCAAATATTTGAGTTTCTAATCAAAAAATTAAACACCTGGAGAACTTTGCCAATAGAGGGGAGTTTTGGTTTATGAAGGATGATGGAAGTGAAGTCATAGGTGTGTATCTCTACTGTGCGTTATATATATATATATAGACTCACTTTTTCGTATATACTTTATTTTTATTTTAATTGGTAGTTATGAAATTGTTTAGAATTTTTTTTGAAGTACAAGATTCATGTTACTTCAAATTAAAATAACAAGAAATGGAAATTAATATTAGAGTAAATTACATAAATGGTCCATATGGTATACTGAAATTACCATTCTGAGTCCAGCTTTTGAAAATTTGGTTCGTGTAGTTTTTGTGGATTTATTTTTTGTATGGTTGATTATTCGGTCTAACTTCATTAGAAATAAAATGCTAAATATAACTAAATGACCAATATATCCATCATTTTTAGGAAACGACATTTATTACATAAGTCGGTGGCTTGAAAAAACGAAAAATTACAAGGGTTTAGAGAATTACTAGGACTTACAAGCCAAGTTAACCAACCTACATCAAAGCCTCTACATCAAGAATTAACCCACGAAAAAGAAGTTAATCTAATGGTATTAAACAACACCTCCTTGCAACCTTTCTTACCGCTAAAAACTACTGCATTTCTCATCTTCCAAGCTTCAAAAATTAGGGCAAAACTAATGACATCCAACAACTTTTTTCGCTCCAACAAAACTTTCAGGTCATTCCGCCTTATGTTCATCTCCCTACGACTATTTACTAAGGAGAAATAAAGGTTCCATAATATTTCGATACTCGACCAAATAGCTTCAATGGAAGAACTGTTCAAAAAATAAATGATATGTATTTTCCAATTTAGAGTTACAACGCTCATATAAAACATTTTCTAAGTCGACTAATTCCCATGTATGGTTGTCCAAGATGGAGTCCGTCTCACTCTTGATGGGTTTCTTCCATTAAAGGTTTGTTCCTTTCTAAAGTACCAACAGTCTCTTAGTAGGTTCAAGGTTCATTTTCTACCATGCTGTAAGTTACAAAATCATTAGCAAATTATTCTTCAACCCCTTTCCCTTTACTTCTTCTTGGATCAACCTCATTTTCATAAAAATGATCTTATTCTTCCTCTTGGACAACATTTTCGTTTTGTTCATTTTGACTTTGAAATTCTTTAGTTAAGAAAGGAAACACGTCTTTAAAAAATAAAACATTCATTGAATTCGTTATCATGTTCTTGTGTGTATATGGATTCTTCAACTCCCACATAAGGAATATATATTTACCGGAGAGAATAACCAATAAATATGCAATCCATGAATATTTGGTGTTAGCACTAAAACTTTAACAACACTGGCGGACGCAGAAAGTTGTCACAGTAGTGACACAATTTTTTTTCGTCCCAATATAATAACAAAAAAAAAAAAAACTAAAAGTACTAGTACATCAAACCGATCCATTACATCTTAATATTTAAATTTGACATCTACGGGTACATATTTTTTAAAACCGACTCATTACATCTTCGATCTTCACTTTTATAAGTGTTTCTTTTTCAACATAAGAAATCATGACGTCGTTCAAAAAATCATCACCTATTTTGTTGCGCAAATCCTTCTTCAAAAACTTCATCGTTGAAAAACATCTTTTGACTGTTACGGTTGCAACGGGTAAAACCAAAACCAACTTCAACAAACTATAAACCATAGGATAAGACCGATGTTTCCCCGTTTCCACCATGAAACGGAAAAGGTCGGAAATTCCTTGCAAACTAGTGAACCGGTCATCTTTATGCAAAGCGTGATAATCTGTTTCAAGTTCACCATCAAGTTGCATCCTCTCCGCATCATCAAAATCTTTTGTGTATAACTCACTCAACTTTAACAACTTTTTTGTCAAATTTAGCAAATGAATCACAAGGACTCAAAGCTCCCATGTATTCTAAAATGAAATTGATTAGTAATTTTAGTCTTACCGCCTCTTGATGTGACATAATTTTTTGTCATCTCCACAATATTAATATCAAGTTTTTGACAAAAAGAGAATACCTTCGATAAAATTTTAACAAACCCCGTGTCTCTTAAATACTTCAATGCGTCCATTGTCCCTCTAACCAAATAAGCCGCTTCTAAAATATTTTGATCCTTTTTTTGAAGCAAGTAGTGTCTTGGTGTATGCCTCCTGGTTAATAAAGATGCCTTCGGGTCCCTGTCTAATGTTTAAGCCAAGGAAAAAGTTAATTGGACCCATTGAGCTCATCTCAAATTTAGTTTCCATCAACTTCCTGAATTCAGCTGTTAAGCTAGGATTCGTGGAGCCGAAGATGATGTCATCAGCATAAATTTGGACTATCATAAGGTGGTTACCCTCACTCTTTCGAAATAAGGTTGGGTCAACGGAGCCTTGTTTGAATCTAGACATTTTTAAGAACCGAGTGAGAGTTTCATACCATGCTCTGGGAGCCTGCTTTAAGCCATATACCGCTTTGTCAAGTATGTAGCAGTGACCTGGATACTTTTCGTTCATGAAGCCCGGCGGTTGTTAAACGTACACAGTTTCTTCAAGTTCACCGTTGAGAAAGGCACACTTGACGTCCATCTGATAGACTTCAAAGTTTTTGTGTGCAGCATAGGCAAGAAAGATACGAACAGACTCTAATCTAGCAACTGGAGCGAAAGTCTCTTCATAATCGATACCTTCTTCTTGACAGTAGCCTTTCACCACTAAAGGAGCTTTGTTGCGAATCACGTTCCCCTCCTTATCCATCTTATTTCTGAATACCCATTTTGAGACCGACAACCGAAGCATCCTTTGGAGTTGGAATAAGACGCCATACTTTGTTTCTTTCAAACTCATTCAACTCATCTTGCATGGCTTGAACCCAGACAGAATGATCAAGTGCTGAGCTAACGGTCTTCGGTTCAACTTTGGAAACAAAGGAGTTGAACATGCAAAACTCTACTTGAGAAAAGAGTGCAGCTTGTTTCGCTTTGATCTGTGATCGAGTTAACACCGTTTCTGAAGATTCTCCAATAATTTGACTCTGAGGATGATCTTTGGTCCATTTAATAAGTGGAGGATAATTTGGATCACAAGAGGGATCCAATTCTGCATCGATTTCTTCTTCCAATTCTGATAAAGTATCATCATTGACATGTGTACTCTCCCCCTCGAATGATGACACGAATTCTGGATCAGAATGCTCCCCTGCGTTTGGACTTTCGGTTGAGCCAGATGATTGTGTCGTTGAATTCTCCCCCTGGAATGAAGGACCTTGATCTTGTTGTGGATTTCGGACCCTCCCCCTGGACTGAAGGGCGGTCATTTGAAGGTTCGCCTTTGACTGGCCTCTCGGTTGCTTTAAGATAATCAGCAGCCATCTTTTGAGCAGCATCATCAATGATTTGCTTTAGACTGTCAACCTTGTTGTCTTTCGCTGTTGATTCAGAATTAATTGCCGTTTGAGGTTCATCAAAAAGAAGGATGTATTGCTTGAAAAGATTTGAAATTGGGGCTGTTATGTGACCAGTCTTTGGAAAGATTTCCCGAGTTGTACTTTCGGTTGCCTTCATCTTCTTAACATATCTATCGTCAAAAGTGACATAGTATGTTTCTTCAATCTTCTTAGAACGCTTGTTCACAACTCTGTATGCCTTAGAATTCAGGGAGTAACCTAGGAATATACCTTCATCAGCCTTAGCATCGAACTTATTTCGCTTCTCTTTAGAATTGAAGACGAAGCACCTGGAACCAAACACATGGAAGAATTTCACATTCAGTTTGCGATTGTTTAATATCTCGTAAGGAGTGTGAGAGAATCGCTTGTTTAGATATGATCGGTTCTGAGTGTAACTAGCGGCAGCGATAGCATCAGCCCAGAAATACAGAGGCAATGAAGCGAAGCTTAGCATAGTGTGAGCTGCTTCGCACAGAGATCGGTTTCTTCTTTCAACAATTCCGTTCTGCTGTGGAGTATATGGGGCTGAAAAATTATGAGTCGTTCCCTTCTCAGCAAGAAAATCTTCGAAGTCTTTGTTTTTGAATTCCAAGCCGTTGTCGCTTCTTACGTTACGAACAATTTTCCTTAGTTGAATTTCAACCTGCTTTATGAAGAGCTTGAGCCTTGGAGTAGCCTCATATTTTTGCTTCAAGAAAAATACCCATGTGAAGCGAGAGAAGTCGTCGACAATGACCAAAATGTACTTATTTCCACCAATGCTTTCAATGGAAGAGGGGCCATACAGATCGATGTGCAATAATTCCAATGGCTCTATCACTTTTGTATTGATAATGGAGGGATGACTTTGTCTACTCTGTTTTCCCAATTCACAGGCTGTACATAAATGTTCTTTGTCGAATTTGAGAACTAGAAGACCTCGAACATGATCTCCTAAAACCAGTTTGTTTATATCCTTGAAATTAAGATGAGAGAGACGTCGATGCCATAACCAGCTTTCATCTGAATGAGCCTTCGTGAGTAAGCAAACTGCTGGTTTACCTTGAATTGGATTGAGGTTTAAAGGGTACATTTCCCCTTTTCGCTTCGATTTCAGTAGAATGTTATTTGACTTCTTCTCGACTATCTCTCAGCCTTCATCATCAAATGATACCTTCAATCCAGTCCCAACGACTAGCTGTGATACGCTGATAAGGTTATGTTGAAGCCCTTCAACATATGCGACCTTTCTAATTGAGAAATCACCATTCGTAATCATGCCATAGCCTTTAATAGTTCCAAACGAGTTGTTGCCGTACTTCACAATACCACCATCCTTGAGAGACTGAAACTCCCTCAGTTCTTCCTTCCTGCCTGTCATGTGACGTGAGCAGCCACTATCAATATACCATTCTTCGTCAAACTGCTCGTCACGCATAACCTGCAAAATATTATACAGATTTAGGAACCCAAAGTTTCTTGGGTCCTTGTGAGCCTTTTACAGGAGAGGGAATAGTAAGAGAAATATCAACCAAATAAGTACGTTTAATTAAAGTTGTTTCATCTTTTCTTTTTATAGTGAAAACTTTAATTTTGTTTGACTTAAATTCGACAGGCGTATGATTTGAGGTGTTGACGTCTGCATTCTTTTGGATTTCTT